AAAGGAATCCAGATGTAGTAATTGTTATGTTACCATTATTAGTAAATTGATTGGATAGAGGATTTTTTTGTGGGCTTTAAGGTTTGTGTGAAGCTGCAGGTTTGATTGTCCGTGGTATAAATATTCTGCCAAAATTTCTGTGCACTCATGACATAAAATCACAGACTGTTGAGACTAGGGTTCAACCGGTGTTGCTAATCTCTATTATACACAGGGTCCATATAACAGCCAGTGATAGTATATGTCTTATCTAGTCGGTGTATGGCGCGTATTAGTCTATATTGCGTACTGAGTAAGTGGTCAATATCGGGCAAATCTATATATAATAAGTGATAGGATATAAACTCTGGCGGGCTGTTGGGTTGGGGTGATATTTTGGTTTTGTCTATGGTGTGTGAATGGGGCTCTTTTTTTTATATATTTTGATTTAGAGTGCTTTTTCACTGATAAATTATGAACCAATCAATAATTGTTATCTTATGTATCGATATGTTTTTTTTGTGTTTTTTTTTTATTATTGTCCCATAATTTGTGATGCATATATAATAATTAATAATGGTAAAGGTATTTTTTACATCAGGTGCTTCTATTCTGAGAATAGTCTGTACCGATTTTTCATGTGGTTCGATCTTGTAGTTTTGAATGAGTGAGATTTTGTGTGGCTTGCAGGAGATCCTCTCTCTTTTCCTTGGCCTGTAATCTCTCCTCTCTGTTGTGTTGTTTGTGTTTTGGAGTATGTATTTTTGTATTCTGGTGGTGTTGGGTTGTTTCTTGGTGGGCGCATTTATGAAGTCCAAATGTCGGTTACGTTTGTGAGCTCTGAGTAATTCTTCCATTTAATTTATGCATCACATTATGGGACAATAAAAAACACAAAACATGTACTTCATTTTGTTACTTTTTCAGTGTAAAAGCACTTCTAGTCAAATATTAAAGCCCTTACCCATTGTACACCCACGCAGGTGTTTTCTCTTGTTGCCCGATTTGACCTCTTCTCAGTACCATGATAGCATACACAAACTGTGCTTCATCTCTGCATGTTGGACCTGTTGTACACCGGTTGTTGTACATGTTTTATGTGAGTGCA